TAGGGGCATATTAAAGTTGATTAGAGTGACACCGGTTAGGATCTTATGGTTCCCTTGTTCCGGCACCATTATTTTTTATTGGATTCACTTAGTCCAAATGAATTTACTAAACTCAACTTAATGAGTTCCATAATTTCATTTAGACCGTGGGAAGCCTCGTTAGCAACCGTAGGTTACCTCCTCCGAGGGGTTCCCGATCTTCCGATAGAGACGTTTTAATTTAGTTGAAATTGTATTTTTTGTGATGTTTGTGATTAAATTTTGAGTTGTTTTATATTTTGAATATTATGAGGTATTTTTTTGTTTGAAATTTTGTTTTTTTTTTTTTTTGATTTTGGTGAATTAAAGCTTAAAGTGAATTATGCCAAATTCAAATTGACGACCTCATGATAGTAAACTCCATCTTCAAGCACAATTGTGTAATTTATTTTAGACTTTAAAATAACCACTATTTTTCAAAGACAATGCTAAGCCTAGAGGGCTTTAATACTTCTGTTTTTTCTTTGAGATTATATTACACATCTCAAAAGTTCATTTCAACCAATTTTTTATTTGTTTATTTTGAAAGAAGTCATTTTTCTATTTTGTATTTCAATTTGATTTCGTATTCTAAAATTAACAAGTACCATTCTTGAATTTACATATAAAACAATTTTTGGTAAAGAAATTTTAATAATATTCTTAACAAGATATTTCCCAAAAATAATAAATTTGAATCAAGATTAATATAATTAAAAAACTTGTTTGGAATACTATTGTTTATCAGTATCTATTAAATACAAGATTCTCTTCCTCCTCGCATGAATGTTATGAACTGTCATAATCATAATTGTCATCCATTTGATCAATTCTCTCCCATCTCTTCCGTTCAGTCTTCATTAATTTAACTATGATCTTCATAGATCAATTCATATAAATATATTATTACATATGATTTTCTTAGTAACAATCATAGAAGCTAGAAACAATCTTACTGAATAATTCGAACATATAGAATAATCGCCCACTTAAATTTGTTCGTGTAGAAAGTAAATGTTATCAAAAGAAGATTTTTAATCTTCAAGTGGAAGAAATCAAGAAATAACCCAGATCTAATTTCTTATTAAAAAAAAATTTCCAGCTTCTCAATTAGAATTTTTTTTTAATTCATGCATCTTCTCCACGACAGGAAGTATACATGGTAACGAAGGAAGAGCCCAACTCAATCAACTCAACTAGACACTCTTCCTGCGCCGTCGCCGCGGCTTCCGCTGCTGCTGCCAAATCAACTGTCAATCATTCTAAGAAAATATCCCCCAAACCCCAAATCTTTCACGACGGCCGCCTCGCCTTTCTCCCCACCCCTTCCAACTCTCTCTTCCTCCTCTACATACCTTTCGGCTTCCTCCTATGTGTTGTCCGCATCCTCGCCGGCCTCCTCCTCCCTTATTCCTTCTGCCACCTTGTCAGCGCAGCTCTAGGCATCCACTTCCGGATGGTCCAACACCGCCCCCATTTCCAGCCCTCCCCCTCCGGCGTCCTCTACGTCTGCACCCATCGCACACTTCTGGACCCCATCTTCCTCAGCTACGCCCTCTTCCGCCCCATCCCCGTCGTAACATACAGCCTCAGCCGATTCTCCGAATCCCTCTCTCCCATCCCCACTGTCCGCCTCACTCGCAACCGCCTCCAAGACTCCCACTCCATGCGCCGCCTCCTCGCCTCCGGCGACCTCGCCGTGTGCCCTGAAGGTACCACCTGCCGTGAACCGTATCTACTCAGGTTCAGTCCCCTGTTCGCGGAACTGGCTGATAATATTGAACCGGTTGCTATCGATTCCTATAGTTCTATGTTTTTTGGAACGACGGCGACCGGCTTTAAGTCTTTAGACCCTATATTTTTCTTCATGAATCCGAGACCAGCCTATCAGATCAGTTTTCTTGGTCGGGTTCCGAAGGAGATGACTGTCGCCGGGGGTTGGACAGCGGCGGATGTTGCGAATCGGATTCAGAGGGAGCTTGCTGCTGAGTTGGGGTTTGAGTGTACGTCCTTGACTAGGAGGGATAAGTACTTGTTGCTCGCCGGAAGCGATGGGGTCGTACCGGATCAGTCGCCGGAGAAGTGCTAGTTCGTTGGACAAAGGTTTGTTATTCGTGTGGCCGGATTATTAAAATGCTGACTACATAACTAGTAAATGTTCTAGTATTTTATGGACTTCGATGTAAAAGGCCCTTTGCAAAAAAGACTTTTTTTACAGCAGTTATTTTAATGTACATTGGGCTTTGCAGATCATTATTCAATCTTTTTTCTTTTTACAGTATTTTATTAAAATAGTAAAAATTTGATGATCTACAAAATAAAATAAAAGTAAAATTTGATGATCTACAAAATAAAATAAAAGTGATGAAAAATATTTCAAAAGCATTTTTTTTTAACTCAAAGTGTTATGTTTTAAACTC